TTGCCGTAAAGTGGAAGGCTGCATTGTACCTATTCTTGACTAATCACGAAAAGAAGACAGAAGCAGAGAACAAGAGATTAGAGAAAATTTGGCTCTCGACAAAAAAATAACAAAGTGAAGGAGCAAGATAGGGCTGTTTTATCTAAAGAAAACTGAAGGAAACATGGGACACCTTCATGGCTGTAAAAGCTGAGGTGCCATAAGAAAAGGGAATAAATTGTTCTTCTACAGAAGGAGGGCTTAAACTGCAATAGGGGAGCTCCAGCTTGCATGTTAGGGATTACCAAGGAATATGTGGAATCACTCACATTGCAGATTTACAACTACATTAGACAAATGACCCTCATAGCTGATTCTTTACTCAGGAAAGTCCATTCTATGCCTGTTTCCTAAAATCTCAAACACTATGTGGAAGCACGTGAACTGACATTTTTAGACAGATTTTTTTAAGACTCTACAGTAATTCAGTTTAAAACCCGTTCATAACTTTAGTCTGAGTCAAGTCAAACAACATGTCTCCATGTTCGACTGTCACCGACTATGGAAAGATCTGAATTACAATTTAAATAGAAAATTTATAGAAACTTTGAATATATTTATTCACAGAGTTCATCTATGACTCTCTCTATTCCTTGTTTAGTCATCCATAAATCTATCTGATTTTCAGCTTTCAAATGAAATGAAGTCTGGAAGTAAGTAAATACAGAGAAGGCACTGAAGTCCGAAATAAACACAGGGAATCAAAATAATACTGCAAGGGAGATTTTTGTTGGGATGACAGTGCTTGTGTGCATGCATGTCTCTGTGTTTGCGTAACAGTATGTGTGCATAAACACAAAATACACGTTTGCATGCATAAAATGTCCAGATGGGAAACATAAAAAGTTATTGAATTAAATAACTTTTACATCAATTATGTAGTGAAATACACCCCCCTCCCTTCTTGAGTAATCAAAAAATTGATTCATACTGAAGTCTCTGCATTTGCAATCTAAAACTGTACTCAGCAACGTCAGTTACAATTTATTACGAATGCTTATGGCTAAAGCAATTAACATTAATTAATGGTATGTTGGAGGAAAGTTTGAGTGGCTTACCACCATAAGTTTAGTTACACTAAGAACTGAAAGATGAGGAGCTTTAAGCCCTAGTTGTAACTTTATTGGTCTGTCTAAAATGTCGCAACTATTTTCCCCAGAGGTATTGAGAAACTTAAGTTAGCTGCTTCTCAGAAAGAATCTGAGATGGTAAAAGAAAAAGGTGCTATTCTTTTTTACATGTATTAACAAAATTAATGCCTATACTAGAAGGAAACAATTTAAACAATCAAGAAAAGGGAGTTGTTTTTGAAGTGGAGCTAGACCACCTTTTTTCCTTCAGTGGAAAAACTGAGAAGTACGGGGTACTAAAGGATGTATTGTCAAGAGTGGTAAAGGAAGACAGACTACAATTAACCAATATGGAATATGGCCAAGACAGAAGCCCAGCAAGCTCAAGTGGTCACAGTCATTAAGTACTACTCCACTCCCACAGCAGCCCCTCCCAAGGCAAATTTTTGCTAGGGCCAAGTGGCCGGCACAGCTTCCTGTGGCAATTGATGTCACCCAGCCTAAGCACTGATTCAGATCTGTGCTGCTTTATTCAAGAGATCTGGTGAGACTGGGAGGTTACTGCTGCAAGCCGTTTTGAAGTAGTTATCAGGAAAATGCAAAATGACTAAATGCATATAGCCTGGGGGGAGTGGGGCTATTAATAGAGCCACTGCCAACTGATAGCAGAGATGCGAAGCCTGTAAACCAAGTCGACAGGAGAACTGATGTGAAGTCAAAGGAAAACATTTCTAAGAATGAGGGAGGCAATCCACCATAGTGACTTAAACTGAATATTAGAAAAATCTGTCTCAACAGCCAGATCTAAATTCTGAAAAGAACCAGGCCTTTGCTTAAACAACTTAACTAAGATCAACTGGCCATATGCTTCAAGGTATGAACCTGTAATAGTCTCCAATGAGGGATTATATGAGCAATGAATATTCTCTATCACCTAATACCTAACTCTTTTCAAAATGATTTTCCTACTTAAAATCAATATGGTGAGGTCTCTCCATTCCCTTTAACTGGCTATTGATCTTTACAAACGCAACATCTGTGCTACACACCCAGTATTGCGGAGCAGCTACTGAAAGGACACCTAGTGGCAAATAAATGAGTATGTCTAGAAATCTCTGGCACTCTTGGAGGTGTGTAATTATAATTATCATGGGAACTGCTGAACTCTTATGTGTTGAATCTGCAGTGTCATATACACCAATTTATGTGACAAATAGCACTATTCATGGTTTTTAAAATATGTGCTCTCACAAGTGCTTTTTAAAAACATGGAATTTAAGCTTAACTTCCTTAAAACTCACTGAACGTTTTGTTAAACAAATGATGCATGTGCCTCTGTGTGGTAAGAATATAAATCTGAATATCCTGAGTCTCCACTGCATCAATTTTAGGAATATCAGGTAGCTGAACAGAACTCATTGCAGATATGCTTTGCTTAATAATCAAGCCAAATTTCAGCTCACTCATCACCATTCCTTGGGCCCTCCATTGTGTCACTCTAAAATATCCTAAGCAATTCCTTCCCTTCGCATCTTTTTCCCCTATGAAGACAAACATCTGAAGCCTATAAACTACACGTATTTAAGCTAATTTTACTCTTTGTTTCTGTCCATTCACTTTACAGTCACTTCTTGCCTGTGTTTATTCCAAGCCCCTTAATATGTACTAATGCCCTTGTGACCAGGAGATGCCCACAACAGAAAGCTGTATTCCAGATGGAATCATGCTGGTCTCATGCAGAGAGGGATTATAACCTTCCAGTGTAGTGACACGCTGCCTCTCGGCAAACAGACCAAAACCCACACTTGGCTTTCTTGTTTATGTCAACATATCAAATTACAAGCACAGAACTATTTGCTGACCACTGTCCCTCTTCGATTACTGTTTTCATGTTCTCTTTTCCAGGTTTCTCTTTCCTATTGAACACCAGGTCCTCTCGATTAATTTGCCCTGACTGAATTAGTACTGATTTGTTAGGTCATTTTTTCCAGATACGCTGGGGGGGGGGGGTTATTGCATTTTATAACATTTCTGTATGCCAGTGCTCTGTTCTCTGTCCTCACAACATTTATAACAGCTCCCAACTTAGTACCATCCTTTGATTTAAAAAGCCACAAACAAGCCATTTCTGCTCTTCTATCCTCTTTCATCACAACAAAGATTGAATCACTGGTGTGGCTATTTTTTGTTTGCTTTTTTAGGTGACTTCCTACCGAAGTTTTTGTTTAAAAAAGTCAAATTCTGCCTTACTTCTCCACAACTACAAGGAAGTAGACTGTGACATCCATTAAGGACGCTGCAGTTCCTGCCCTTACCTAAACATTAGCACCAGTTCCTCACCCAGCTCTGTTTCCATAGCTCACCTCTCCTCCACTCCACCCTTCTGAAGCTCCAGCCTGCTCTCCATTCTTAAAATGGCATGTAGTTTCCTTCCTTTACTATAAACAATGCTTTCTGTAACCTTAGTTTCATGATGTAAACATTTAAAAATAAGAATGAAGGGAACACAAACTATGTGTTCAATTAGGTAATTTGAGGACTAAATTAAATGAAATCTCTTAAAACATGGAACATTTCAGAGTAATGAAGTCTGGCTTTGCTTGTTTTCCTTTTATCCCATCCCTGTAAAAAAGAAGACAATGGATCTTAGAAACCCTGGCAGAAGAGTCGTAAAGGCAGCTGAAGGCAGCTTATTGCTTGTGAATCCAAAAGAAACTAAAGTAAAGCTCAGAAGAAGGAGCCGTAACACTCAGGTATGTGTCCAAAGGGAAAGAGAGGCACTCTGGAAACTGCAGGGTGCTGGAGGCTAGGCAACCAGCTGCCACAGTTGACATGGGAGTCTCCTGCTACCAGTAGTATTACCATCTGTAATCTGATGTCAGCTTGCAAAATGCCCTGAAATCTGCCAAAGCTTATTCAAACTGGCATTTCTTTTATATTTAAATATATTTTAAAAGCAAGAAACCAACCAACAGATCTTATTCTCTAAGCAGAAAAAAAAAAAAGAAAAAAAATAGGGCTCCTTTGTATACACTATACGTAATAAAGAATAGTAACGGAAAGGAGAAAAGAGTAGTAAAGGAAAGATAATGTCCATTAAAAAATGCTTCTGTTCACCTCTGCATTCCACCTGTAAGTTTTGGTGAATTATACTCCTTCAAATAGGCTTTTTCTTTATTATTATCATTTTTTAAACAGCTCTAGAGAGGATTTTTATTGTTAAATCCCTAATCTGAATTTTGCTCTTGTGAACCCTTCAGCAACAGAAAAAAATGGAAACTGCCTGCAAATGTGAGAGAATTCTTATGTACATCTGAACATGCACATTTGGCTTTCGTTGTGTGGTGTACCAGACAGCTACAAAAACAAAGTGTAGCCTATTACAGAGTTAGTAAACACTTTAAACTTTGGATCTCACTTATCCTGAAAGACAGTGACCTTTCCAGCCTTTCAAGCAAGCCTATTTCCTCTTGGCATACAGCCGACACAGGTAATGCAGTAGTTGTTTGACTTTCACATCGTCTTTAAACAGGTATTGTGAACATGCATGATAATAGCTTCAAAAAGGCAGTTCAGCATATGTACAGGCATTACACCTCCCCTAGGCCTCTTTGCTGGTTTGGGGGCTTTACAGTCCTGTTTTCCTGTTTCTGAAAGCCTGCTGGGGAAGGGTGAGGGGTATTCCATTATTTGGTGAAAAATACACAAACAGCATAGAAGGAAATGCACAATATTTCCAACACAACATCCCAAAATAAGTTCAACAACAGGTTGCTTTTTTTCTTCCTTTCTCTGTACAATACTACTTGCTAATTTTACTCAGGTTTAGTAGAAAGCAGCAATAAATGAGAGGGAGACTTTTAGTGGGATATCAATATCTTAGAGACCTACCTTGAAAGAAACTTTTGACTCGGAGATAGCTGACACTAAGACGCAAGACAGAAAGTTTGTCCAGCTTCGATACGATGTCGGGTGGAAAAGGCAAGAGGCTGGCCAGATGATCCAGTTCTGCGTTCAGGCGGTCCCTGTGTCTCTTCGAAGGATTTGATTTTTCATTCCCAACTGCAGGCCTTCTGTGGTGGAGAACACATTTTTGATTACCCGTTTTACCTCCAGATAGTACAACCAGAGACTGAGATGTTGTCTGCAATTAGTTGGTTACAGGCATATTTAATCTAGCTGAGATGAAAATCTTTCTGTCCCCTGCCAAAAAGAGAAAACCATTCTTCATTTGCCATAGTGCAAAGACATGCACATTGGCCTCTTTTTCCATCTGCCCAGTGAAAAACAGACAAAGAACTGATACCTATTACTCAGGAGCCTCTCACCCTAGGGGAATGGTTAATATCTTCATGTTCTGGTCAATAGGGAAAAACAATTTCTCATCTATGTTGTAGAAATTAGGGTCAGAACAGCAGAGGAAAATTACCATGACTAATGCATGAACCCATTGAATACCCACTGCATTCATTCAAAGCATCTTAGATCAATTAGTTTAATGACTCTAAGTTAACCTGTGGGTCAGAAAATAAGTAAGAGCCTGTCTTTTGACATGAGTTTAAAGAGTATAGGAAGCAGGGTGAAAAGATGTTCTTTCCTCAAGCTCAAAAATCCTGTGAACATACACACATTTACCTTGCTACACCACTAGTAACAAAGATAAGAATATGATTTCTCTCTTGAGAGCATTGATATTCTTCCTACAACATAAAGATTGATGCTACCCAGTTTTCTAAGCCAAGCCCTCCTAGTCCATCCCCATTTCATGTCCTTCTCATGCAGTAGACAAGACTGGATACCTCACAAAAGCTATTGTGAAAATACATTAAGATGAAATACATCACAAATGAGGAAGGTCAATTTTGGTGTGTCTGCTGATATTCTTCTCACAGGATGTGTAAGATGCTGTTCTCAGGAGGGAGAAAAGGAAAAGCTGGGTATTTGCACAAAATGGGAACCTGATTTCCAGCACAACAGCAAGAGGTGGTCAGTGCTGAAGAACTGACTTGTCTGTTAAGCAAGATGACCTGAGTGGTGTTTGAGAAGGTGGTTATCTCCAGCAGACAGCCAATGCTGGACCCAGCAGCAGTCAAGTGCATTATCCAGGAATGGGCCACAGGTCACTGGAGCCATAAACTACATGGACCAACAATATGAGAAGAGGGAGTGCTATAGCCCTAGGCTATAGCTGAACTGGCATCAAACCAGGGGATTTAGCACTGTCTGCTGGTTCTCCACACACTCTTGTAATGCCCATGTTCAAGTTCTTATTGTACCACATTGCCACATTCTTCCTGAGGCATTTCTCAATGTCTCTTATTCCTCCAGAATAAAAGACATTGAGGAAAAAAAAAAAAAAATCAATGAGGAAAAGATGGAAAAATACTCAAGAATGGGAACTGGTAGGAAAGGAAAATATGGGTGTGCTAAGTTTCCACTTTCACCTCACTAAAGCGAGGATCATAACCATATGTATCTTAACTGGTGCTCCAGTGGAGAATCGGAGGAAAACTAATTATTTGCAGCACTTTACTACTGCATTTCCATGCTCCATGCATTTATTATATTTTTCAATAATAATTTAAGTTTAAGCATTAGTATTTCACAAGGTGGTCAAAGGCTTAAATTACAACATTTGCATGTTCCCCTCTTGTAAGTGTGATATTAACTTATCATTGCAACTGTGGTTTAAAAAAATGTTGTGCTTACAAATTAGCTAAAAAAAGGATCGATGTTTTGTGCCTGTGGTTGCTGCCAATTAAAAATCTCTTAAGGCAAAGTAGGCATGAAAAAATCACGCTCCTTTTGAGGGCCTCGCTTCGTTTTAACAGGACATATTGATGGACAGAATGAATGAAAATATATTTGAGGTAGGTGTCAGTGAAAATAGGTAGTTCCTGCTTTCTCATTCAACATTGCCGATACTGATATGTGGCCCTTCAATAACACAACCAGTTGCTTTCAAAGACATGGGGAAGATTTTGTTGATTGGAATCAACACAAAGCTTTCCTGCATTACAGAGAGCAAAAAAGCAGCAAATAATGTACTCAACAAAGTAGGAATGCTCTTTTTTCACTTTTCCAGTTCTTTTTTTTTTCCCCAAAAAAGGTTGTACATATTGGGCACTAATTTTTGCAGTAGACACTGAAGCTCAGCCATCCTTACTGTGGCCCCAAAAGGATGTCTGACCTGTGGAGAGCAGTAATTCTGTGGGAATATAGCCTATAGCCGAGCAGAAGCTGAAGAACATCAGCTTTTACTAATTGCTTTTTACATCTGACAAACCAGCTGAAGCAAGGAAGCGATTTAGGACAGAAAAAAATTAATTCCAATAAGGAAATTTAGACTGATGAGTTCAAGGGGCAAAAATTGTCAAGATTAACATTGAATAGAAATAGAAATTGTTCAAGCCTACTTGCCTCATAGAATACTGACTGCTCTCTGCCAGAGATGAATGGTTTGAGGCCATTATGTGCACTGTGTTTGCACTGACTGTAAGGAACAGTTTTCTAGAGATTGCAGGGAATGGTGTAAAAAGACTACAGGAGAAAGTTCAGGACAGAGTCTTCCTGAAAAATTAAGGAAATGATTCAGTAAGGGAGTGAATCCAAACAGAGGTTTGATGTAAGTGGCAATGAGGTGCCAAGTGGATTCGATTTTAAACAATGCAAGTTCCATGGAAAGGCTGGCTTAGCTATCCATAAACAGAAAAGGGCAGGCAGGGAAATTCTTCAGTGGGATGCTCTGAGGCAAATCGAAATTCTAGCCCTTACTTTGAGCTGATAGTAGATAGTGCTTGTGTTTCTGTTAAACTCCAGATTCTCAAACTCTGTAGCACTCTTGATGATACCTTTCTTATTCTGCTTTTCATCCAACACTACTACAGTGAAGTAGCACATATAAAATAAAGTTGGCATTTCCTTCTTTGAGTGGTTAACCCATCCAAATGCTGCTATGCAGTTACAAGTCCTTGTACCTGTACAAGACCCATATCGGCCGTCCCTGTTCTGTAGGAACTGAGTGTGGGACCTGGTGCAGAGAACTTTTTCTGTTTTGGTAGTACGTACGTAAGGCACTGAGCCATTTGGGCTGTAATGATTCAGTGTGCCTATGACACACAGACTGCCACTAGTGTAAACCAGTTTGGTGAGCTTGCAGAGGAATTTCCTGCAACTACAGCCCTGTCTGCTGCTCTCTACCCTCTGCGGGAGCCCTACCCTGTTAACGAAAAGTTTACTCTGAATGAGTTTATTAAGTATCCTTTAAACCAGCAAATGACCTAAACTGAGAAAAAGCTAATTATTTACTATGATAGCAAGCATTTGGTAAGAAGGGAAAGGGAAGAGAGAGACCATAAGATGCAACAGATAGGTAGGCTAAGCACAAAGTAACAGCAAGATGATTCTCATGAAGGCACTGACCAGAACCCACAGCCACTGAAATGTGCTTGAGCATTGCACAGGTATCCTGGTAGAGCTGAGCTCCAGTGCCAGCTGTGCATTTGCAGATGTTTGGCGTCTTCTACGAACCAAAAGGACCAAATGACAGAAAGCTATTTGAGGGAAAGGGGGACCTTTGCCACCTTCTACCTCTTCTGGGTCTTCACAGCAAAGAAAGGCAAAAGCAAAACTAATGGTCAAGAAGACATCAAACTGATAGAGCAAATGAGAGGTGGGATAGTGTGGTCTCAAGGAAGAGGAAGGGCTATGCCACAGAGGACCGTAAAATGCAGACTAAAAAGCAGGAGAGAGCTGCACCTCCTGAAGTCTCTGTTTACCCTGGCACTGGTACGGTTCTGGCTGAAGTGGGCAGTTTCGAGCAGTTATTGATACACGCAGAGCTAGGACAGCTGTAATTTGCCTTTAAGTTGCTGTAAAACATTACAAGAAAAGTTTTGTTGGAGGGAGAGAGTTTTACAAGATGCCAGGGCTTGAGACGAAGAAGTGGCTGGAGCTCTCAAATGGTAACGGCATTGCCTTAGCATTTCTAATATAAACATTAATTTCAGCACAGTGATTTTAGTTGGAGGTTAAAAAAAAGATCTCTTTTAGTGTTGGTTTAGTTTTCAGATGCTTGAATTACCAGTAAAATGTTAGATTCCAACAGGAAACAAACACTTGGTAGAAAATGTTTCCTTTAGTGAAAAATCCAGTTCTCTGGCTGAAAAGCCTATCTGATGGAAAATTTCAATCAGTCCGAGCTCCAGGTGCTTGAATTGAGTCCAGAAAAGCCACATTCTTTAGTGTAGACCATATCTAATGGGGTTTGTTTGGCAGCTTTCTGGGGCAAAAGGAGAACAGCTAGGGGAGTTTATTTATTTGCATGCATAAAAGTAGAACTTAAACCCAGTGCACTGCCTGAAGAATGGCAACCTAATGAAGACAGTCTCTCCTGGTTCTGTGTAGAGAAAAAGATACAAACATATTAGATCCTCTCAGTAAAATAAGTTTTCCACACATTCTTCCACAGTATTGTGGGTCTCTGAATTCCCTTAAACACTTAAACAGGGGAGTGACACAGTAAACAATGAGAGTGCTGAGGCACTGGCACAGGTTGCCCGGAGAAGCTGTGGCTGCCCCATCCCTGACAGTGTTCGAGGCCAGGTTAGATGGGGCTTTGAGCAACCTGATCTAGTGTGAGGTGTCCCTGCCGATGGCAGAAGGGTTGGAACTGGATGATCATAAGGTCCTTTCCAACCCAAACCATTCTGTGATTCTGTAATTCTCCTGTAGAGCTTCTACATATATTTTCATTACTGTTATGTAAAATTACCTCAGAATAGACTGTCTGTACCTGAAAAGCCATGAACATGATAAGCAATATAATTCAGTGACATCCTGTATTAAAAGCCAGATGCAGGATCACCACCTGGCTTAACAGCCTGATCACAAAAAACTGATGGAGAAGCAGAGAGTTGCCCTCCTGGGATGCACTGAGTATGGGTAGGTATGAACATCTCAGTTGTTCTGCAGAGCGGAAAGCTGCACCTCTGCCCTTGGAATCCTGACCGGCAAAAGGACTAATCCACGCATCCGTACAGAAATCAAAGTATTCTGCTCAAACTGGCACCTGAGATTGTTTATTCCTTTGTCAGGAGAAAGTTAAACTCTAGAGGCTGTTAATTATAAAAACTGAGGACCCATCATTAGGACTGGCCAAAGAATTCCCATCAACTTTTATTCCTGTTAAAAATTAGGTTATTCAACTGAACAAATACCTGTCCCTTGACCATTATCAGAATGGCAAGGGGAAAAGTAGAACAAGGCCATGGCAGAAAATCCTCTATGCTACCAAGAAAGAGAAAAAAGCTGTACTAGAAATGGTACCACGTGGATGAAAATCGTGACTAAATATCCTGTTCAGTTAATAGGCTTTGTCTACCCTTCTAAATTCAAGATAAATGATTTGAGGCAGCATAACAGTAAGGATACCTCGGAGTCCTGAAATGTCATTAAGATTTGTAGGACTGAAGGACATAGACTGTGAAAGGAGCTCTGTCAGCCAGCCAGTCTTGGTCATTCAGAGCCTCTTTAGATGAGAGTTAGGAAGTCCCTGAGTGAGGGAATGAGCACAGGAAAGGCTTACCAGAGACGAAGCCCACAAGCAGATAAGGTTTGAGGAAGAGACCAGTGTTACCAGGAACTGAGAAACCATCCTCAGCAAGTGATAAGTAACTAACCACAGAAAATAGAGGGCTGGCTTCAGTGCGGGAGCTCAGTATTATAATAATACAAATGATTCCCTTTGTTTTAATCAAAATCAGGTTTCCTAATCAAAATTTTCTATGTTGTGGCTGGATAAGCTCATGCTCATGTACCTCTATTGAAAATAGCAAAGCTATTTTCAAGGTAGTATACTGCGATGGCTTCTAAGGTGAAAACTTGGTTCCATCAAGGTATGTTGGATTTTGCTTCTGATTTTGTTGAAGTCAGAACTTAAAAAAAAAGGCTTATGAGGACATTTCCACCCTTTGACAGGAAGTTGTTCTCTTAACCATTGCATTTACCTAGAAGTGACCTCTGGGAAAATTTCTAGCTAGCATACACACTCCAAACATGAAGCTTAATGTTTCTCAGAGCAGCTGCACCTCTCCCTCCTTTCTCACAAAAATGATGATCCATGAACAGTTCTGCACAGAGGTAATTTCATGTACTAGAGCAGTCCATACCTCATGCAGTTATGAAGTTAAATACCCACATCCATACTTGAACAGTAGTGCCGAAATGTTACATACGCTTTGGATTTAACACTGATATTGCATGAAGAATCATTTTTTTATGTCATTATCTTTGTCTATCGAAATTGTCACCTATGATGTATTTTGCACTAAAAGAGATATTTTTAAGTGGGAACAAGTAGTTCATGTGCAGCTACTCTCCAAAACCCAAACAAAGTCAACAGATCTCACTCAAACATTCAGAGACACTCCCCTTTGACTTTGGACCAATATATACAACTTTAAGCCAAGTGAGTTATTTTTAGAAGCTCTGAACAACCAAAAATAGGGAAATCTATTTTAGTTACCTTTTCATCCTTAAATCATCTGTGAAGGCCACCAGTGCTACTTCATAATTTTAACACAGTAAAAATGTGTGTTTCATAACCATATCATCAAGTGTAACACAGAAGATGTGGGATGATTCTATTAAAAACCTTCATTTCACAGAGTGGTTTATGGCATCTGGAAATCATTTTACATTTGAGCGATAGCAACCTTCTTCCACTCCCATTTCAAGCATGTTGTAGTAACAACTTCCCATTGCTTTTTTTCTTTTTCTGCTTTGCCTTCACACGTACAATTCCTCTCTCCTGTTTTTCTCCTAAAGAAAGCAGCCCCAGAGTAAATAGTGGTGAAAATGATGTGTGTTTTATGCAAGAAGTGAGTCACCAGTATGCTTTTTCAGTTGGCTGAACTGACCCACTTTCCAGGCTCGCACATGTTGGACGTAGCAATGCCCCAAGCAAGGCTAAGCCAAGGAAGGGGGAAGCCAGCACGCTGGTGCCACTCGACACACAGCTTCTCCTTGAACGGGCACCAGGGAACACAGAAGTGCAGCTGGAGCAGTTATGCCTTCAGCGCACTGCCCAGCTGACATTTAGTCCAGCACTATCTTCTGACTAGGAAGAGCACTGTCCATCTTCACATAGCATTGTACTCTGTGTACACACTGAGTACGCACCACAACTACCACTGGGCTCCTCCTGGGACACCTAGTGATGGGTAAGGACAGTTTGACCCACACTCAGCATCCTTTCTGGAGCCAGTCTTAACCATGAAAAGCCAGCCTCCCAGCCAGGGTTTTTTTGCTACAGAGATTAGGTCTCTCCTGTGCTTGCAAACAATAGAGGAAGAAACTCCTTCTTTTACCACATTTCTAGCACATAGATTTGGAGGAAGATACCTCCTGATGAATATGATACTTAACTGTTTCTGAATGGGTTTCCTCCTTTTCCTCCCAGCATATAGGCATTCCCCCGGAGGAATCATTGTTTGGATGCTGCAAAACAAAAGGAGTATGTTTCTTAGTTTAGAGGTTTCTGGATTTCATATTGCTGTACAAAATGACAGCAGCGAGAAAGTTCAGCCGAGGAAAATGTTTGTTCCTTGAGTGTGGCATTCAACAACACTAAAAAGCATAGTGGCATTAGTTAAGATAGAAGATTAAGGCTTATTCCAATTTCCTACCTTAATATTATTAGAATATTGATGTTTATATTCAATTTTCATTTTTTCAAATCAAGCATTCCAGATATGGTATAAAATGGGTATAAAATACATCCTGTTTATTGGATATCCAAATTTTTTCCCCTTCTAGGCTCATTTTTAAACTCAGCTAAACAAATAAGAACGAGTAATATTATCCATCATCTTCTGCAGGGAGGATTTCACATGGTTTTTAATACACAGGAATATTGTCTTCCATTACTGACACCGTGATAAGTAGGATGCAATTATACAAATCAGCATTTTTCCAGGTCCTCACATCCTCATTTTTAAAGACCTAGAGTATATCTGTTGACAGCTTGAGAAGTGACACACAGTATTGTGGTTAGCACTAGGACCCAATGCAGTGCTGATGAAGGTGACAATTTTCAGACAAAACTTAACCTTATTACTGCTCCCTTTGAGCACATTAGCCTTAGAGACATTGCAAGCTCCGAAACAAGTCTTTGCATTCAGTTTGTTTAAGTCTTCTGGAGATTAGCTGAGTATCAAGGTCTCTTGATTTTTCTGTATGAAAGAGTATCTTAGTCTTACTGTGTGCTGTTCAACAGCGGGTGCACAATGCCTGACAAGTTACTGTATCTCAAGCGTATTTGCTGCTTTGTGTAAGATGTAAAATTAAGAGGAGCTTCTATGTCACTGTATCAGATCCCTTGGTACTGAAGAAATGTATGTCATGTAATGCAATCATAGACTTTCTGAACTTCATTTAAAAACTGTTTAGAGGAGCTTTGCTTTTCATTGAGAGACAGCTTTCTGATAACTACAAACCTTTTGCTTCCCAGCTGAGATTTGTTCATGGTCATTTTATGCCCATTTGTTCTTCTGCCAACATTGTCTTTTAGTTTAAATAGCTCTTCCTCCTCTGTCGTGTTTACTCATTGCCATATTTTTAAATATCAGTCGTATCTTCAGTCAGCCTTCTTTTTTCTATTCTGGGACAACCCAAACTCTTTTACTCCCCTCTCATGTTACAGACTTTTTACTCTTCCTATCATCTTAGGAGCCTTTATTTTCTCCTTTCAGTCAATCTGTCTGAGACACGCATAAGCATAATCGTGCACAGTATAGTAAGTAAAACCTAGAAGTATTTAATAGATGCATACATACTCATCTTTATTGACAAACTGTTAATTCTTAATGGGAATTATTTCACTTGATAGTAGCATGACTGTTTTTTTCCTTTTTCATAGCCATTATCCAATTCATGGCTCACAGTCATCCTGTGGTCACCTAATATGCACAGTTCTCTGTCTTCATGCATCATTTCCAATAAATGAGTTCACAGTTTATGGATGAACTGACTTCTAGTGGCCAAGTGCCTAGGCATCCCATTCATGCAGTTAATCTCCAGCTCATTTTTGCTATGTGAGAACTGTGTCCTTTTCTGTGTTGATGAAGTTTACTGCTGCAAATCTGGTTTTGCATGAAATTTCTTAGTAAAAATGTGATTGTATAAAAACTGATAGTTGAGGAACTCTGCTTGTAGTTTCTCTCCTTTTCCTTTCACCACGTGCTGTTGACCCAGTTCCTTCCCCCAGCTCTTTAAATTCTTAACTCAGCAGTACAGCATCCTTCACTAAATTGAGTTAGATTAGGTCTACCATATTTCCCTCGTCTGGAAAATTAGGTGTTTGTACAACAGACAGCTGTCAGCTTACTTTGTCAAAATCATCTAAACCTACATTCCATTTTTACTCCATTACACAACTAACTACAGCCATTTATGGTTCCTTCCTTGAGAAGTCGTTCTAAAATGATGCATAATACAGAGATCAGATGAACAAGTCAGTAGTTGCCTTCTCTCAATTTTAGCTGGTGATGGAAAAGTCAGTCATTCTCCAGTTGGTGCAGTGTCAGGTGCAGAGCATTTCTGGAAATAAACAAAATCTTTCTTTCTTCCCTATTACCAAGACGATTTCATGTCACCTGATATTGGTGAATTGCCTGGCCAGAATCTAAGAGTGATATGATACAGTGCAACAAATACTGTTCCAGGTTAAGAAAGTTTGTTTATCCTGCAGCCTTTACTTAGATAAAGTCTTCTCACCATCTTCAAAGTCCTGGTTAGTTTAGTCTAGTCTACAGGGTGATTTTTTCAACGGTCTGAGAGTTAAAATTTCACCTACCCCAGTGGGTTTTCTGCTCCAATGGAAAGCTGAAATAGGGTGAAGATGTCAAAACAGTTGCTTTAGTTTCCTGTGAGACCTTACATTAAAACACATTTCTTTATGTTTGTAGTGGGTTGACCTTGGCTGGACACCAGATGTCCACCAAAGCTTCTGTATCACTTCCCTCCTCAACTGAACAAGGGAGAGATAGGGGTAGGGAGAGATCGCTCAGCAATTACTGTCATGGGCAAAACAGATTCAACTTGGGTAAAGTAGTTTAATGTATTACCGATCAGAGTAAGGTAATGAAAAATAAACCCAAACTGAGAAACACCTTCTCCCCACCCCTCCCTTCTTCTTGACCTCAACTTCACTCCCAAATTCTCTACCTCCACCCTGCCGGTGGCACAGGGGAACAGGGAATGGGGGTTGTGGTCAGTTCATCCCACGTTGTCTCTGCTGCTCCTTCCTCCTCAGGGGAGGACTCTTCGCACTCTTACCCTGCTTCAGTGTAGGGTTCCCCCCACAGCAGACAGTCCTTTATGCACTTCTCCAGTGTGAGTCCTTCCCACAGGCTGCAGTTCTTCATGAGCTGCTCCAGTGTGGGTCCCTTCCATGGGTGCATCTTTCAGGAACAGGCTGCTCCAGTGTGGGTCCCTTCCGTGGGTGCATCCTTCAGGAACAGACTGCTCCAGCATGGGCTCCTCTATCTCCAGGGCCACAGATCCCGCCAGGGCCACAGGTCCTGCCAGCACCCTGCTCCAATGCAGGCTTCCCCAGGTTTGCAGCCTCCTGCAGGCATCTCCCCGCTCTGGTGTGGTGTCCTCCACTGGCTGCAGGTGGAGATCTGCTCCACCATGGACCTCCATGGGCTCCAGGGGAATCTCTGCTCTGATGCCTGCATCACCTCCTGCCCTCCTGCACTGACCTGGGTGTCTGCAGGCCTGTTGCTCTCACATGTTCTCACTCCTCTCTCTGGCTCCAGATTCTTTTGCAGTTTTGTTCCCTTTTCTAACTATGTTATCCCAGAGTCAGTCACTACCACTGTTGCTGATGGGCTTGGCCTTGGCAGTGGTGTGTACATCTTGGAACCAATTGGTGTTGGCTCTGTTGGAGGGAAGCTTCTACCAGAAGCTACCCCTGTAGCCCCCCCCCCCCAAAAAAAAACCCCGCCACGCAAACCCAATACAATATTGTAATACTTTCGTGTTCTCAGTCCTTTCCGTTCATAATATGAATGTATGACTCATAGTTCATATTTCAAAACAGTGTCACATGCTAGACTTCCCTTCTCTTGCTTTCATGAGCAAAATTAGAAGGAGAAAGATTTGGGCTGCATAATTCAACTAAAAACTGAAAGTTAAGAGTTCATTTGATTTCCCAAAAGGACCACGTTGTCTTAAAACCCATTCTGGTTCAGCCGATGAATATGTGACAGCGAACAGAAATAAATGAAAAGACCTCAGTATTCAAACTGAAAACCAGGAAATAAATACCAAACAATACGAGCTAGAATTTATGAAGTGTAAACTGCTGGTTAAGAAAGATAAAGGCCCACAGGAAAATTCACAAGTTGCAGCACTGAAGAGAAAAGATAATATGCTTTTAGAAGACTATTATGGACAAAATAAGTCCAAGATGGAGGTGGCTGTATGCTAGAACTGCATAAAAGGTGACAGTGTTCAACCCATTTATTTCTAGTCTCTGAAAAGAAGAAGAATCGTGCACTTGCGTCAAAAAGAGAATAAACCATGCACTCTTCAGGCTTTCTGCAGGAACTATCTACAGAATTAGAACAAGGGGTTACCACAGCAACATGGTATGAAGCACTGCCTCAGCCACTGAGCACCAGCCTCCTAGATATGGATACAGCCAAGAGGTGCTTCTGCTACTACCACCACTGCCAATAGTGGCACGCAGATAAAATGAGTTTGAGAATGAATGTACAGGAATAATGACAAAGTCAGAAAGCTCATGGCCAATGGTCCTAAAAATACAGCTGAAAAAAGCACTTGAAGTTATTGTGCTGCACAAAACCATAGGTCAAGAAAACATTTCTTTTAAAAGATGAAGAGCACATCTGCATGGTCCCACCTGGACTGCGCCCTCTTCTGATGTCTGCTGAGAGCAGTGAGCTCTGCTCTGCACTGCTGGGACAGAACAGCCCATCTCCACCGCTGCAGGAGGCTGAGGGCTCCTTCCCTTACCAGCCCAGCAGCCTCATCTGTGAATGAGAAACAGGAAGCCGGGGGAACTGCACTCAGCTGCTCAGACCAATTGTGCTCTTTCCTCTCTCTTTTCCTCTGCAACACCTGAGAGTCCTCACATGTTTGAAGAAGGCTGAAGGTGAACCTAAAGCAGCAACCTTCCACCCCTCCAGCAGAAGGAGAGAGGCCGTGCAAGCTTGAGGAGCTTCCGCAAGCGGAGAGCTGGAGCTGAAAGGAACAGAACTGCTGGGAAAGGGCAGATGTAGGCCGTGATCATTCACTTATGTCAGATGCTTTTAATCACTGCTGCCATTAAGTCATAATGAATCCCTGAACAGTGGGGAAATCCAAAGGGTTGAAAGGCAGCTGCTATATGACAATCTTCAGAGAAGGGAAACATAACAATCCAGCTAACCACCGGATGGCAAGACTGACATCTCATCCCAAGCAAAATA